GCTAGGCCAGCTGGCTTCTCCGGCCCGCATGCGGGTCTCCCAGAGCTGCCGGTTCTGGTTCAGGAGGCTGGCGACGGGACCAGAGACTCGGGCACTGCCGATGCGGTGAAGCTGAGTGCGACACTGTGTGCGCTGAGGCCCAGCGAGGTCGTGGCGCTCGCTCAGTCATTTGGGCGAGCTGCTGATTGCCGAGCGTTGGGCGCGCGCCCCTACGTTTCCTGACCTCCCTTGCCGTTGAAGATGTTGAACTAACTCCGGCTGAAGGACCGTTGGGGACGTGGCATGCGTCACTTCCTGGCTCAGGCCATTAAGAGCGGGCCCTCTCTTCTCTGTTCTGTACTGTGGAGTCCCCGAAGCAAGGCCAGCGGGAGCCCTGCCCAGCCTGCAGCGAACCGCACACGAGGACACGTAAATCTCTGCTAAATTTCAGCCACTACAAATTAGAGTTTCGTCATTATTCTGACTAGTATAGGCTCAGTGTTGCTATTGGACAGCTCTGTATAATGGGCTTTTTATCTGGTCCCCCAAAGATGAGCATACCCCCCAGTGCGGTCTAGACTAGGCATGCCCCAGTAATGACAGTGGGATAGTCCGGATTAGGCACTGGGGCTGTGGAAAATGAATGACTGGTATCCTCTGAAACATCTGAAGATGTGACATCGTGACAATAATGGCGGCAGCCAAGAGGGTTCGCCAAGGCCTGATCAAGTTTCATTCTCTGACAAGCGCCGTCTGCTTCCTAGCTGTTCCTCATCCACACAGGCACGTCTTCATGTCCGAGACGAGGAAATCTGGTTTTAGAGGTTTTACGGGCTACGCTCATGGACTGAATGGAGTCTCGCTTTCAGAATCTTGTTGGCGCACACCTACCCAACTGACTGCCCCCTCGACTGACTGATTTGAGATGGGAGATGTAGCATATGCACACAATCACATGTGGATTTGTGTGTCCCACAAAATAACATGCATCATCCTACTTGCATGTAAATATCCAAAAGACGTGATTATTGTTTCTATTTTTCTAGGGAAACAGAATCGAATAGATTAGAGTTGCACAGTTGACTTAAAAAACCTGAAAAAAATATAATCCTAGAAATCAAATTGGTATTTGAGACATTCCAGCTTCCCCCTTCCCCCAGTCATGCTTCTCCTTCTCTGCTCAAGATGTAAGTCCGACATCTTTTTACAGGTGAGCTGGCTTAACACTTCACGGAGCAGCTGAGCTCTGCTCTCTGAAACAACCTGTACTGGATGAAGAAACAAAGTGAGCCGACCTATGAGAGTAGTATATCTTGAAAATAAAATGGTGTAAGGGCAGTAACGGCCCAGTCACTTACATAAAGATTCTAACATTAGATCTGTAAACTCAGCAGTGTATACATATAAACAAACAGATCATGGCAAAGTAAGGTTTATCCCAAGAACATAAGATTTAACATGAGAAAAATTTATTCAGGGAATACACTGCATTAGGGTTTATAAGGGAACTCAAATATGTTACATCAGTTTCATAAATGTAGTTATGAAAAAGCCTGAGCAACTTATGGATGAAAGGAAATTGCCTTAAGCCGATAAGAATATATCTTCTAAAAATCTATTATCTGGAAACTATGGCACAAGTTATGCTTAAATAAAATCGTGAAACTCTAGGAAACCTTCTGTCTCTTCCAATATGGATTTCTCTGACGCGCTAATTTTGTGCTTATGTAGGAAACACAAGGATGCCCATTTTTAATTCCGTATTTCATTAGAACTTTTATTAAATTGTCAAAGAGAAGCGATAGGAGCATTCTTCTTAGAGCGACTTCCGCTGCTGTTTACGAATTCAACTGACTTTTTAAAAGTGAATTTGCACTTGGCAATTTTGCTGAACTTATTTGCAAGGGATATGGCCTAAAATTTTCTCTTCCTTCATGGTGTTGATCATGCAACTTAGAGTTTTTCTCGTTACTGTAAATGAGGTCTTTTCCTCCAAAATAATGGGAATAAATTATAAAAGATTATTGGTCCAGCACAATTTTATTTCTATTACATTTTCAAAGCAATTACTAGGCCAAGTGGTAGTAACATATTCATTCCCCTCGATGCCAGTTTTCTCCAAATGCATCTG